TTCGCCAGTGTCCTTAAATCCCAAAAGCCCTGAACCCATAAACCCCTACACCCTAAACCCTTAAACCCAAAAGCCCTGAACCCGTCAAGCCCTATAGACCCTAAACCCTTAAGCCCCAAACCCTGAAAATGGCCTCCTCGTCCTAGTTCTGCTCTTTCAGAGAGGCTGTGGCTCAGAGTGGAAGGGATCTTCACTACCCTGGAGCTGGCCTTTTGGCGGCGTACTACTCGCGGGATTTGCTGGGACGGGTCATGACTACTTTCTTCAAGGTTATGAGAACCCTAATCCCTAATCCCGCAGACCGTACTCAGTTGGGTTTAGTTCTTTTCGCAGGATGAGGTAGGTTCACAAGCACCTCAATGAAGCTCATCAGACATTAAGCCCTAAACCCGCCTGAAGAAAGAGTACGCTAAACCTCTGGCCCAAAGCGCCCACACTGCGAGGTCTTTGGGATCGTCTTTACCATCGAAGTCTGCCTGCGGCTCTTTGCGGAAGGCCTCGGTTTTTGGAGGGAGGCCTGGAACTGGTTGGATGCTGTGGTGATCTCCGTCGCTACACCCGCAAAAAGTCATTATGTGTTCTTATATGTTTTCTTTTACAGAATAATGATCCACAGAAACGTTTGACTTCGCTCTGATATGAAAAGAGCTGTATTTCTGTTTAGGGCACTGCTGGGGAAGCTAGGTGTGGCTGGTAGAGAACTTGGTGGAAGATTTGCCAGTGAACAGCCAGATTCTGCGCCTGGCCCGTATCTTCCGACTGCTTCGGTTGCTGAATCTGGTCCGCAGAATTCAGGAGTTTGATCCGCTCTTCTTGATGACCACAGCTATCCGTAGCAGCATGACTGTGCTTGGCTGGTCCATGGCATTGCTGTTCGTCTGCCATCTGTTGTTGGCCCTGGTCGTGCAGCAGATCTTGTTTGGCTACTACTTCGATACTGAATCGGACGACCCAGAAGGCCAGCAGCGAGTCTTCATGTACTTCGGAACCTTCACTCGCTCCTTCCTGTCGCTCTTCGAACTGACTCTTGCCAATTGGGCTCCGGTTTGCCGCGTGCTCCTGGAAGAGGTCAATGAGTGGTGGGTGGTCTTCTGTTTGCTTCACAAGTTTACCGTGGGCTTCGCGGTCGTTGGTGTCATCAACGCGGTATTGATGCAGGCAGCTGGTGGGTTCATGCGGACGATCGATCTCCGAGTGTAGGTTGCTGTTCTGACCCTATGATGCAGTTCAAATCCGCATTTCATATGGTTTTCTGATATTTTATTTCGTGACAGCATGTTGTCGCAGCCGCCATAGCTAGCCTTCACAAAAGGAAAGCCCACAGCCAGAGACCGCGGCCCTCCTCTCCAAAGCCCAGAAAAATCAAAACTAAGCCGAGCACCGTTGCCCCCGTGTCTCCGAACAGAGAAATCCAAACAGGGCTGATTGCGGGGCCTGAAGACCTAGTGTTTTCAGGATTCCTGAATGTGATAGTATGATATTACACCCGACATATTTTGATTATAGGGCCCAGGGTTGGGTTTAGTTTTTGACGTTTGGGGCTAGGTGTGGGGATCACCGGATGTTGGACTTCAAACGTTTCGGTGTCGCCTTTGTGACTTCACGTGCTGTAAGGTAAGCATGTACAAGATGTTGAGGTTTGACTCAGGTCTGAAAGCATTTGATTCTGTGGTGGTTCTTTGGAAGATGCAGGGGAAGCCTGACAAGAATCATAACCGGAAGTTGAAGATAATGCAAGGTGTCGTTACTGAAGTGAGCTGAGAGGGGCAGCCTGACAAAGCAAGTAAGTAGCCGCCAGCAGCGTTCTTTCTCATGTAGGAGACCTTCAAAGTCGCCTACCTCGACGACACCGCGACTTGGCTGCTCTTGAACTGAGTTCGCAAAGTTTCGGGATTGAACTCTTGACATGTGAATTAAGACTCCTGTTCCAGGATGCAGGTTCTTGTGTTGTCCACGAGTCCATGAAAGTGCAAGAAGAGCACATTGACAAGTATACCCTGATCTTAAGGTTTAAGTGTTGTATAAGTATGTATAGAAATACAAGCACTTACGCCCTGAACTTCCCTAAACCTCAACCCAAAGGTCATGGTACGCGAGAAGATGCGGACGATGCGTGCTCACGTGGCCAAGATGTCTGAGCTCTTCCACGAAGCGGACACTTCAGGAGCGGGCTGAAGATACAGCTTTGGTGTTCAGGGTTTGGGGCTCAGGGATTTTTTCAGGGTTTGGGTCTTAGGGTTGCGGGTTGAGGGTGCGGGGTTCTTGGCGCAGGCCTTAATAGGGCTTGAGAAGTACACAGTTGTTCATTTAATAACCCTAGGGTTCTTCCCAGAGAGCCTTACGATGACTCCTTGCATGTTATTCTCACTATCACATTGCCCTTTCATGACGTACAATTACAACCCTCAGGATGCTTTGAAATGGTCAGTCGATTTCTCAGAACAGTTTGGTGTACCATGAGGTTCTTGCCTTCAGCGTAGGATTTGGTTGCTGGGTGCTTGTCCATGGCTGCACATGTTCTCCTAAGATCCTGCTCTTTCCACTGTCCGCGGTCCTGTGCCGGTCGCCTGGCTTTGCGATACGAGCTCGCGTGCGCTGCAGATGGCGAGCACTAGCTGTGCTGGTGGAGGGTGCCGGAGTCAGCAACGATCAATGGAAAGTAAACCACCACGCCCAAAAACCCTACCAACCCCCAAAAAACCCAGAGTCCCAGACGCCCCCGACCCCAAGAAGCCTCTTGAAAGAAGGAGACGGGAAGTTGGATCTGAACGAGTTCAAGCGGATCCTGAAGAAGCAGGAGGCAGGGGCCCCAAGGGGCCAGATGAAGAATACGAAGCCTAACCCTATTTGCCTTGAACTCCCGAAACCCCAGAGGCCTTGAACTCCAAGAGCCCAACAGCAGGCTTTCAGCAGAAAGCCCCCCGAGGTGAGGGTCTGGCTTTCGGCTATGGAGTTGGACGTCAGCCATCCGGAGGAGCCCCTGGGTTTGGACTCCCCGAACCCTCGGATCCAATTTTTAGGGTTAGGGCTAGGCCACCAAGACAGCCTTCTCAAGTGAGATCCGTATTATGTGGGCAGGAGTGGCTTTTAATCAAGGAGTCTTGTTGACTTTGAATACCTGCCGCATTGGGGTATAGGCGGTATAGGATTTATAGTTGCTTCTGGGTTGCAAGGATTCAGGAGTTTGTCCCTGACTCCTGGCTTTCGGAACTGAGTGGCTTCGGGCCCTCGAGGGCCAGCTCCTTCAAACCCCAAGGCGCCCCTTTGAAGGAGCTCCTCAAGGCGTTGGTTGATGTCTTTTAGAAACACCCTGTACAAGAACCGCAGAAAGGGCTCGAATACTTATAGGACCCCGAAAACCTTAAGCCGCAAGCTGATAAGCCCCAGGGTCCCATGATGCTCTAAGCATAGGAGCTCTTCAAGATGTTGAACACCGCTGGGGATGGCCGGCTCTCTGCAGACGAGCTCGTGCAAGGCGTCTCGCGGCTGCGTGGCGCCGGGAGGGCACAGGAGGTGCCTGAAAGGGGCTTGGTCTAGAAACAATGTTTAGGGTTTAGAGGGTTCTATAAAGGATCTACCAGGTCTTGGTATAGTAAAACAATGCGCGGTTCTGCAACCTGAAACGAAGTTTCCGTACTGATTGTCCCCTTAAGTCGGTCGTCTTTGGTTGGGAAGCTTCTCTGCATCATAGCTTGGGCACTTTTGTATGAAACAGTCGGAGAATCTTCAAACCGACAGTAACATTCCAGCAACGCGCTATGAATCTGTCTTCTAGCCTGACACGTCCTCGATCGGCAACTCCGCGAAGCCTGAGAGCCGGTATAAGAACCTTATGGAAACCCCGGCAACAGCGATAAACCCCCTATAAAATCCGTAACGCTGTTCTGAGCCATGCCCTGAAGATGCGAAAGATCCTGGAGACCAGCGAGTACATGACTTTCGGATGGGCCTTTCAATATTTGTTCGATGTTTGACCCCTTCCCCGTAATATTAAAGCCCCCCTAATATTGAAACTGGATTTCGGAGGTTTAGAATAGGGGCAAGGGATTATGCTGGTTTAGGGCGCAGTGCTACGGAGGTGAATGCTTAGCTTCTTTTTGTGGTTTCGGCTGCCTCAACCTCGTAAGGTCCAGAACCTCTCTAATTCCCCAACTCCCCAGAGCCCCGAAGCTCATGAGCATCAAGGTTCGATGGCATTTGGTGCGCATTTTTGCTTTATCCGAAACTCCTGAGCCTGAAATGATCCCCAGCCCGAGCAGGAAACGGATGTTGGCAGACATGTCGAGAACACCCCGGCTGTACCGGAATAGATCTGAAGTGCCCTGGCGGCGAAAGATTACTCGTTCAAACACTTCCCAGCCATGAAGGTCTCAGGGAAAGATTTATAGGTGCGGTTTCGAAGAAGCTTCCATCAGGATTCTAAGCAGCGCTTATTGCGTTTTATCAGGACAGTTCTCTGAACTCTGCAATGGCATTCGTTTCTTACAGAGGATGGGTGCAGTTAAGAGAGGGGTATACCAAGGCCCAAAAGGAATGACATTGGACGCTCCAGTTCCCGACTACACGACAGACCACGATATCTTGTTCTCCATACAGAAAAGCCTAACTCTTGCTCGGAGTGTTCAGCTACGAAGGGCGGTGCCCCACGTAGGTGTTTGGGCTAAGGCCTTGTTGGATTTGCTCGGCGGGTCGTAAGAGTTATTTCAGTTCATTCGGGTGTTTGGAGTTCGTACGGTCAGTCTTTCTGTGTGAGTCTGCTCGGACTACCGCGTTTGTTCAAGGGGGTGTCGGGTTGCCCCTGTACTTGGAGGATCATGGGACTTAGTAAGTAAGGTTGTAAGTACCTTAATTGGGGTTATGCTTTTTACCCTAGTTACTAAGTCCCATGATCCTCTAAGTACTCCCAGAAACTCAAAGCTCCGCCTCCTCAGGCTTCCAGCAACTTATCGCCGGAGCTCTCAGGATCGGACAAAGACCAGCTCAACTCCGTCAGCTACTGATCCCCTTAGATGTGGGCGAAACTGTCATCTTTTTTACAAGGGTGGTTGTGAAGGGTTAAGTATTGATTAGATATAGTGCTCCCTTAACATGTGATGAGAAGCCCCCATATATTTTATATGTGTGTAGGGAGGGGGTTCTGACAGTAAAGAAGTAGTTTTCATTGCTCTTCGATGTACCGTTTTCAAGGCCTTGAAGGCTGATCTCAGTTGAGAGCTTTGTAGTTGAGCACCCAGCGCAGCATGCAGGGCTTTTGGAAAGGAGGCAGGTCCTTGAATGATCGTGCCGATTTGCCGATGATGTAAATTGGTGCAGCACCCACCCACGAAATTGGGCAGGGTGAGCCTCACATGAGAGACTCAGGCGTTTGTCAGCACGTCTGGGATGAAAGGACGAGCTGGTGCGAAAATGACACACGGATTGTGCGAATTGCTCGACATCAACCTTAAGTGAGAAGATCCTCTTTGCAAAGACTCCCACTTGGATTCATCGGAAGTCCTGTGACAACACCCCTAGACAACACTCATGGAACCGGCATAGAGTCCTAGTTGCGAAGACCCCATCTCGTTGATTTAAGCAATCCACGGCCGAAGCGCTTGCCGACATCGTGGCTGCTCTTGCAACCTCGTAATGTATGTTCTTTTCTACATCGATGTCAAAAACATATATTAGCAATGTACAGCATTCCAGGCCACCATTGCTCAAGCGCTTCTCTTCTTGGGTCTCGTTGACGACCCGGAACCCCGGAACACCCTGCAAACTATTGTATTATAATACAGTAGAGGAGTTATAATATATTATAGTAAAGGAATAATATATCATAGTATAGTAGAATATATTATAGTTTAGTACAGACCTATTATAGTATAGCACAGTAGAAAAACTTATAGTAGGAAATATCGGGAGTCAGGAGATGAGTTCCATGCCCGCAGGTCACCAGCTGAGTGGATGAGCGGGGGGGGGGGGATGGATCTCGCGCTCCGAGCCAGCGGCAAACAAACTCGTCCCCATGGGGGTAAGACGTAAGATTGAGGAGCCCTAGATCCCCAACCTGTACTCCTTAGGATTTATTTTGTTCATACAAGACCCAAGAGATGATTAAACATGTTGTTTTTGTTGATGGTTCTAAGCGGGGCATAGAAACCCTAACTGGGGCTTAGGCTTAGGATTTAGCCCCTAGCACCGCTGGAATCCTCACACGAGAGTCGGATGCTAGCACCGAGGCATGACATGGCTGAGAACCTGTTCCATGACATGGCCCGCTTCGAGTAACTAGTAGAAATACTTCCCTTGGTAACTATAGTACAATATACCCCAAAATCCCATTCTGCTTGATACCTTACTAGAGCATAATATACCCCCCCAAGACCCCATTCTGATTGTTAAGGCCCCTATAGTATCAGGCCACGGGGCAACGGAGAGGAAGGCTTCCCTTGCCTGAGTGGGAGCAAACGGACAGGAACTGCCGGTTCGGGGCCAGCCCAAAATCCATCACCTCTTCACTTCATCGAAAATCTTAAATAGTCCCGAAGTTCCAACTATACCAGAATACACTGCGGAGAACTTTCTCAGGCTTTGGTACACTACACCCAAGCCCTGGCCACATGCACGCTATTTCTCCTCCTCCGTCTCTCTCTCTCTCTCTGTCTCTGTCTCTCTATTCTTCCTTCTTTTTCTTGCATGTTCCTACAGCCTGGGCCCTGAAACCTCAAAGTCCTGCTGATGCTTTGCAGCCCAGAGCCGAAAGTCCCCAGAAGCCCCCAAAACCCGAAAGCAAGAAGTCGATCCCTTAATGGGGGTTGTTTACAAAGTACCCTTAGTAGTATAGGATCCCCAAATTAGGGGCATCTACTGTCTACTCCAGATCCCAAATGCTCCAAAAGGATCAGCACCGCAACATCACCTTCAAAGCCTTGGTACTGGGACCCTTAGGTTAGAGCCCTAGCTCATGAGCCCTTAAGTGCATGTTGAGGTTGAAGGTTGTCAGAGTTGAATATAAGTGCCCCAACCAACTGTTAGTAAGCACAGTACAACATCACCACGAAAGTCTGACCCCAAAGCAACCCTTAAGCCTGATAAACAAAGACCCTACTGCACCCTGGATCTTCTATCCCCCACGGCTCATCCCAGAAAGCCTAAAGAGAAGGTCCTCAACCTTGAAGCGACTCGAGCCCTCGTTTTGTAGGATTAAACAAGTCCTAGGATGCCCAGTAGTACCCTTATTCCCGTTTTGTAGTCCTAGGTGTCTTTTTCAGGTTACCCAATAGCAAAAAGGGAGCCCTTTTTATTCCCGACATCTTAGAGTCTTGTCAGCCACAAGACCACAGAACAATCGGCAAAAGCCTGTTGACCCCCTGTAACAGCCCTTTAGGAAGCCCCCGAAAACACCTCTTCGTTCAGTTGACTTTCGGGCTCAAACCTCGGCTGCTTTCCTGTGCGTGTATTTGTCACAGGATGCGTCGCACGGCTAAGGCAGTGGCATTTAAGCCATTGTTTAGCCTTGAAGGGTTTTCTATACGTCGGAAGGGTTGTTACGAGCAGGGAGGATCTAGGATTCGCGATGTAGAGCTACGGCTTCTGAGCTTCAGGGTAAAGTGTGCAGAGCTCAGCAGCATTCGGGCTACATGCTTTCGGGCTCAGGCTTCCTGTAATCAAATGCGTTCTTCCGGCTGAACTCACAGTTAGCAAACGTTGTTTACAAGGTTGGGGTTTTCACGGATCCCAGACATTCCAAAATCCCTTCAAAAGGAATGAATGCACCCTTAGAATCATATGAGGAGTCCCACCCTAATTTCAGGTATATTCCTTAAGTAAGGGGTATTGGAAAGTTTAGGGTTGCTTTCGCTCGGAAGTACCACGTCTGCACCGTTTGGGTTTCAACGCCCAACAGGTCCAATACCTGAAAGCCCATGGACCCCGGGACCCGAAACGACCCAAATCCTAAACCCTGTATCCTCACCTTGGGTAACCCGAAATCCCAAACCAATTAAACCAAGAACCCTAAACCCCAAACCCTGTGTACCCTCAACTTTTGGTTTTTCGGACGCTAGTGCAGACGGAAAAGAGCCCATAAAGAAAAACTAAAAAAAACTGCGTACCCTGTGTAGGAAGGGGTGTAGCTGGGACGGGCCGAGGCGCGTGTCACGCTGCGCTCCAGCTAGCGCTGCTCCTTGGAGCAGCTGCAGGCTGGTGTTTAAGCAGCGAGGGTTTAGGGCTTTTAGGGCCTTAAGTTGGGGCCCTGAGGGTTTAGGGCTTTGAGGGTTTAGGGCTTGTAGGGCCTTAAGGTTAGGGCCCTTAGGGTTTAGGGCTTTTAGGGTTTAGGGCTTGTAGAGGTTTGGGATTTGGGGGTTTAGGTTTAAGTTTAGGGGGTAGGGGGCTTGGCTGCGATGGAAGCAACGATTCGGATAGAGGCCGTAGTGGAACACACGAGGCTCCGCAAGAATAAGACGAAGAAGCTTGATCATGAATGTCCTGGGAGATACTAAGGGCAACAGTACTAGTGATGCTCGACCATGGTGGATGGACAATGTAAGATTGTGTTTTACAGTTGCCTGCTTCGTGACGCAGGACGACTGTGGCGTTTCGCTTCAGGTCCTGGAGCAGCATGAAGGGCCTCTGACATGCGGGTAGCCGCCTCCACTCACTCCCCGAACTAAACCTGCATCCTCCTCGTAGCAGCACGGCGACACTGCTACTGGTGATGATGATAACAGGGGTGAGAATGATGGCGATGATAATGGCGACGATGATGATGATGACGATGGTTGTCATAAGCATCACCACAGCCATCGTCATAGCAGTCTGATTATTCATCATCACGTCACTGAGTCTACAACGTTTGGGTCCCTCCGTCCCTCAACGGTGGATGGTAGGTCTGCCGGACGGTCGGTTTAAGGTCTTATTGAAGCCGAAGCCCCCCCAAGTCCCTTAATCAAAGGGGAAAAGGAGGGACCCTTAATGGGGACCCCTACCCTATAATGGGCTATATAATGGGTATATAGTAGCTATATTAAGGGTATATACCTAGGGGTCCTTATTAAGGGTCCCTCCCTTTACCCTTGGACTTAACTCAGGCTTGGAGCGAAAAGCTCAGCCTTCACGTGAAGACTGGTACCAGGTAGTCCCTTGGGATAAAGCCAGTCAATAACAACGTAGACCCTACACCTTTAGCCATGCACAAATCATACGTATATAGGCATATGTACAAATATATGTGTATACATGTATTATACAGATATGAAAGTATGTGTGTGTATGTCTATATATATATATATACATACAGGCATGGTGAACTATTAATCTTGGAAACCCCAAAGTCGCCCCAAAGCCCTCGAGTCTCGTTCCATCAACGGTGGTGGATTATGGTGGTTTGAAGGCGGGGGGAGAGTTGAACGCACAGCAGGAAGATAGGGCGAGACGTCTGAACAAAGTCTAAATGACAGAAGCTAGGCGCCCCCGCCCTGGATGCAGGCAAATCCATTCAGGAGGCGTTGATATCACCTCTTGCAACTGGTTTGGCCAAAGCGGGAGCCGTTCAGCTTTTCAACCATGTCACCTGGCTCGTGAAGGTCGTCTAAGTTTCAACATCAGCATAAGGGTCGTGGTGGTAGTAGTAGGGAGCCTTCGCATCATGACCGTGGTATTGCCGTTTTGCATGTAGATACACTTTGCAGCTTCACTACAAAGAGGTCGGAACAATTGCTGACAGCATCGACGTATAGTAATAGTTCCATTATACATACACTATAACATGAACAAAAACCCCGATAGAGGTATTGAGGTGCCCATGTTCGCCTTGACACTCTGAAGCCCCCTACTCGGGTTCCGAGATTGACGCCCCTAAATAGAGCTGTCCAACCGGCAAAGCTAGGCTTTCAGGGCCTTCCTCACTGGCCTTCCTCTGTGGCTCCAAAACACATTGGCATAGATATAGAAGGCATATACATATCCTTATACATATGCATATACGTATGTACGTGTGCAGGTGGATCTGTACCTGTGT